AGCTTTCAGTGATGGTTTGCAAAATTCTTCTAAGATAGTTGAGAAAAACAAACCTTCTATCAAATGGCTGGAATAGCCTTCAAAAGGGGCCACAACCCTACTGCCAAAATTGCAAGTAACTGCAAATCAAAACATGAAAACCACTCTTTTGGAGAGATGCTATTAACACTTTCTGTTCTGCATTACACATTACATCGAGCAGTTAGAGAGTATCTGGGATTCCAGGCTCCTGCGCTCTGTTCTCAGCTTTTCAGGTAGCTTACTGTGTAACCACAGGCATTCTTATGCACTTGTCAGTATGCAGGGGAAAAGAATACTTGCCCGTGTCTCAGGAGTTTGTTACCTGCTTGCCTGTTGATGTTTGAAAAATTCTTTAGAGCTTCATCCCAGAAAAGAGCCGTAAAAAACGAAGCATTACTGCTACTATTAACATTACAGTTATTTTAAAATAAATGGCTTGTGTGTCTGGAATACATATTTGCTGTGGCCTCTGTAAGTGCTGACAGCTTTCCACCCTGGGACCATTGTGAGGACAAGAGATGGCTTATTAGAGAAGCCATACATTTTTCCATTAATTATTCTTATTTCTTCCTCTTATTAATATTTCCTGTCTATGCATGAGTGGATGCACAAGCATATTTGCCTCCTCAATCATGTACTGCAGTCATAATCAAAGATCAGATGGGGTGGGACACAGTGCTGGCACCGCACTTTTCTGATGGCTTCACTGGTATCTGCGAAAACTCAGACTTTGGTGTACTGAAATGGATGGATTTCACCCAAATCTTCTTACTGATCTCTTCTGAAACATTCACCTTTGCTAGTACTACAAAAATGTTCTGGAGTTGTGGCTGAAGCTGAGACCAAATTCCAAGAAGTTGTTACCATTTTGTCTTCCCATGTGTTCGTAACTGCCATCATAATTCACTACTATGGCAAATACCACAGTGTCACAAACCTAGCTATTGTAACTGATATAGAGAATTGAAAAGGAAGACCAGAAATCAGGTTGGTAATAAACACTGAGAGGAAAGTAATTTAAACTTGGGATAAACTGAGATAAATTTCAAGTAGTCTAAAATGGTTGTGTCAGCTTGAAGGTCACATAAGACTGAAAGTATTACTGGGAAAAAGAAAGCACAGAAATGGGTTTCTGGCATTTTCTAGTTTAAGAACTATTTTTGATTCCTGAGGAGAGTTCAGCTGCTCAAACCCAGATGTTAACTGCAAAGAGAGAAGTGTCTCTTGGCAGCTGGAGACATTACAGTAGCCAATGTCCTGGTAATTGATGCTTTCAGTATTCAGAAACAGCGGTTTATTCCTCCTTTCAGTCAGAAAGGCGAACTGTCACCAAACGTGCTGTCATGCAAAGTGTGTGGTGGAGCTAGACTAAACCACAGTGGTCACCCTCAAGAACCAAGAGACGCATAAAACTGGCTTCTTTCCTGCTCTGACACACTGAAGTTGCAACCTCTTCAGGCCTCCTGTATTATGTCTCCTGTTGGGGCAGGGAGCGGGTCATTGGACTGTGGAAAGAGCTTGAGTTACTGGCAAATATCTGCCTTTGGATTCAGCGATCTTTTCACTCAGTCTACCCTGAAAGCTCCTCGGGCTGCAGAGCAATGCCATCAATGGTGAAACTGCAGGAAAGTCACTGTGGAATATGGCAATTTCTGCATTAACACCTGAACGGCTTTACATTATCTGCTTCTCAGCGCTAATGCTGTGGATTCTCTGTTGTGCCACCACCACTCAAGCCTCCACTGTTAATGCGTTGCTCAATGGACTATTTAGCCTGTGGATACATAAAGACAACTACTGCATAGCTATGGCAATGTATTTTCATCTTGGCATACAGCGTCTTTACTGCATAAGTCTTGGCCCTACCAGCCAGCTTTGTAACAACCAAGGCCCACATCCACACGTCCTTGGCTCTGTCAGTGCCCTTGGCCCAGCCCACGTGTAGCCTCGATTCTGATGCCTGGGGACACTGAGTGGAAAAACCCAATCAATCCAAAACCACAAAACCCCAAGATTACAATAATCTCCTCCATGCTTAAAACTCACATTTATTTAAAGTCCTTCTACAGACAGTATCATAATCCATTGAAGCCACTGGCAAAACTCAGGTAGGATAAGAATTTGTCCTAATGTTTAAATTTAAAAAACCAAAATGTTCAGAACTGGCGCTTTTTTTGATGCTTCACATGTCAGCTGCCACTCAAAAAGATCACCAGAGGCTAACATGTATAGGTGTAGTTTGGTTTAGCTTTGGATGAAATATGTGTATTTACCTTAGCTACCCAAACCAGATTTTTACATGAACAGCATTTTCTGAAGTTTGTAGTGAACTTCTGACTGAAGCAAAGTCAAACCCAAGACCTGCAGAGAATTTCAGTGGAAAAGTATACACTGAAGGATAACCCCGATTATTTAACCCCTACATATCCCAGCAGATGAGCCCACAGAACTAAAGCTGTAGTTAGAATAGGCTGTAAAAACTGGGTGTGTGCCAGACTCCTATTTGGCCTGTACATTCAGGGAATGCTTTGGTGGTGTGCGTGCTTGTCCTCTCAATATATGACCATAAGGAGTCTGTGTGTGTAGGACACACATTTAGGGGCTTCTGAGGCACGTGTATTTCTGTGGGTGTACGTTGCATGTGTCACAGGGTTACTTGAGCTGGCTGTTTTGTGTGGGCTGATGGTATTGTTGAATCTGGTGTTTCCTGGCAGGATGTTTGGTGAGTTTTGCTGTGTGCCTGTTTCCTGAGTCCAGTCTGTGTTTATGAGGATGTTGGGGCCTCTCTGCAGCGCAGTATGGGCTGCTGACACTGGCAGGCCCCCTCACTGCCCCCCAACCACAGGACTTTGCAACTCAGACGCTGTCTCTTATCTCACCCTTCCAAGAATTTCTCTACAAAGGCTGCTTGTGTGGCAAGCGGGGTGCAGGAAGCTGCTCTCAAATGGGAGAGTGTTCAATGCTCTAGCTGCCAGGGCTGGAGTATAGGAGGTTTTGGAGACAGAGCTTGGAAAATGCAGCCCCAGCACACATTTAGGCTGCTCCACTGACACTCAGGTTGTTTAATGCAGACTTGAATAGAACAAGAGAGGGCTCATACTGAACTACCCTTTAAAACATTCAGAAAAAACAAACGTGGTAGGAGTTTTTAGACAGAGCGTGCATTACATATGGATGCCAGCAGTTCCGCAGGGCATAGATAAACTTGTTTGGATCAATATATTTGGACACTGTAGGTTAGAAAACTTGCACTGACCTCTAATGTTACACAACAAAAGGGATTATAAAAAGAAGGGGGAAAAAGAAATGTAGTAACAAAAAAAAGATTATTAATGAGCAGGTGTATCCTTTCTCTGTTGTATCCTCTTTCAACTGTGGTTTTGGGGACTGTGTGTGCATGGAGCAGTGCGGAATAGGAATATTTGCTCCCATATCAGTATCTGAGCAGTTTGGGGACCCCCGTTATTCGGAAGTTTTCTAGCACACAGAAGTGGGTCTGAAGCCCAAGGACTTCTGGGAACCCCTTGGCTGGGGCAGCGGGGGGGGGCGTTGTGGCAGTGGATCTTTTCTACCACAGATTCCTGAGGGGCTGCCAGCTCAGCTCTTATTACAGCCCCGTCCTCAGGGGAACGGTGTGCAGTGTGAAGCAGGGTGCATGAAACCACTGGTACTGATGCTGGTTCTGTCCGTAGCACTCACACAGCCACCACGCAGGTCTCCAGTGTAGGTGTGGCAAAGGAGAACGCAGCGAGTGCAAACCCTTTCTTTCATCATGAATATGTGTGTCTTGCTTGGCAAGCTTTGAAATATTTGTCATAATTTCACTGTGTCAAGCTGTGGCTGGTGGGATCTGAGAGTCACAACCCACCTCTATATACAATGGGGGAGAAAAACAGGAGGAAAAAACCTCCAGTGGGCAACTATAAAGCAAAGTCATCATTAATGTTTAATAAATTCTTGGGATATTAACCAGAGCTGTGGTGACAACATTATGCACCAGGGTGTCATCTTTAATCAACAGTAGTAAAAGAATGAGCTGATTTTTAAAGAAATATATAACTTATAAAATAAATGGGGTTTGCTGCTCAAGAAACATAGTAGCACATGATGCCAGAATCCTGAAAATGTTATTTTGCAGTTCACCTCCTTGGGCTTAGTGCCCATAACTAGCGACCTTTTCTTGTGGTTTGAAACAAGCCTTAAGCACTGATGGCAGAGGAAGTCCTGCTCTCTCACATAAACCTTTGAACGTTCAGGAGACAGCAGAATCACCAGGCAAATACGAGATTTCACTAGTATTCGTTTATTTCACAGAGCATTCTCTTAATGTTAGCAATAAAGTCTGCCTGCCTTTTTGCCTTTTCCCCACCTAGTTGCTGGAGTCCTAGTTGCTCCTAGCAATATCAAGTGAAAATAGCTTTCAGAAGTCTGCTTTTCACTGAAAAGTTTGAATTTCCTCAGTTTCTCCTACCTTGGCCTCCTAGGTACTCAGTGTGCAGTACATTGTGATGCATTTTACGGTTCTGTGTAGCCCTGGTTAAATTGGGAATCATCATGTGGTCAGTACTGTGCTGATGGGATTAATGTTAGCTTGGAGGGTAATTTATGGAGCAATAAGTAAATCACAGAAAAACTCTGTGACAAGCCATTTGTCACATTTTGAAGGAAATTCTATTGTGGTGTTGCAAAAGAGCAGATACTCCACTTTAGACTACAGAGAACGTGAGACTCCTGCTCTGACTTGATAGTATGCTTTTATACCCTCAGCTGAGAAGTGTTATATTAGAAGAGCTTTAAACTCCACATGAGTAAAGGCTTACTAGAACACAGATAAATGCACAGTAGAACGGTTAGCAAAGGAGAGCATGAGAGTCTTTTTGTTAAAATGTAAGAATTAAATGTTTCCGCATTTTCTACAAAAATACTGTCTGATCCTATGTTAGTAAACTCAATTCAATTTTTAAAAGTAGTAAATTTGAAGTAAAAGTTTTGGGGAAGGTCACTCTTCTGTACGTTTTGCCTCATGTTAATGGAGATCTGCATTTTAAAGATGGGCAGCTAAGGCACATAAGCCTGATTTGCTGTGAATCAAACAGCCACTAAGTGAACTGGTGGCCACGAGTGAACTCATGGCCCTAATAAAGGCAACAGTTTTGCTGTTAAGTCCAAGGTGATACGGATTTAATCCCATGAGTATTAATTCCATGTAATTTTTCTTTAACCATTGTTCCTTCTCTGTAAGAAAGCTGAACTATGACCTTTCAAGAAAATGTCCATAAGGTTCCACTTTCCCTTTTTTTTCAGGCAAGCAAACTAATGAAAGTTTTACACCAGCAGTTTTAGGTGGTCAGGCAGTACTATCAAGACCCCAACAATTCCAGTCATACAGAATATGTTATTTTACTGCCAAATCATTCTGTAGTTTCCTCCCTTCTTCTCCGTGTCTCTTTTTGATACAGTTTTCCTTCCAAAATGCATTATTACCACCCAAATGGCAGTATTTAAATGTCACAGAGGAATCCAACTGAAGCTGGTTTCTGTCTGCTTTTTCATTTCTTGAGAACTGCGATGCACATCCTTGTTCATAGTATCCCAGTACAGTAATCAGGGGCTGACTGAGTTTATGGTGTGCAAGGCCTGGGAAAGACAACATGAGAACATGACCTGTTCATTCAGGTAAAGCAGCGAATGCGTTCACACAGGCGTTACTTCGGCAGCATTAAGGCCCACCAATACTGCTACTCCCTCTAGCAGCAAGGGAGGGAGAGGCCAGCAAAGACCTACAAGGTCCAGTTCTGCTGTTTCAGTTATTGTTTGTTGGCACCAATAGTGGTAAAAGGCTGCAGTCATGTCTGTGATTAAGTTAGGCAAAGAGCAGAGAAGATCTGCTCCCATTTAGTATGAAGCTGCTTGTTTGAAAACACACATTCTGCAAGGAGCTGAGAGAAATATGGGAATATTGGGAGTCTTAAGGTACAGATTATTTCTCCTTATAGAATGAAAAAAAGGTTCTCATTTTTGCCCTTCCATGGTCTCTGCTGCAGCCCACAGACTCAGCAAAGCTGTCAGATGTCTGGGCGAGTTTTGTTACCAGTGGAGTGCAGTTACTGCTCCCAGATATCCAAACCATTCCTCCCTGAATCATTCCTCCAGACTGGGACACCTGTCCTCACCTCTACTTCCTTTCTGCCCAGAAAACTGAAGCCCAGTCCTACTCCTGGCCTCACTGTCAGGGGGATCCTGAGAGAGTCAGAGCTGCAGCATCCTGGGCAGTCAGTTGGTATTGCCAGGTAGTAAATGCAGAGCCTGCCTTCTCAACCTCAACACGGCATTGCCCTTAAAACATGCAGCTGTTTCACCCAAGCTGAATAAAAAGGAGCCGTTTGTTTACTTGCTTAGCCACTAGCAACAGTCAAAAACGGGAAGAAGTCACAGTTGTGGATGCAGACTCCCCAGAGTTTTGAGGAAATGCAGGCCTTGATCTAAGCTGCGTGGCTTGGGCCTGTCTTCAGTAACAGTCCTAGCAGTTCATCAAGTTACTGCTTGTTCTGGGTACCCCCCCAGGAGTCATGGGCAGGCCTGCAAGCCATATTGCAAATTACTGATTTTGTCTTTCTCTTCATATAGATGAATGATGTTCTGCTGTACACATATCCCCAGAAGGATGGCAAATACCGACTGAAAAACACCTTGGCTGTGTCAGGCATGAAGGTAATGCCTCATCTGCATTATAGGCTGGAATTAAAGTTGTATAGTGGGCTGTTAGTGCTTTGCTGGTTTATGTCTCGTACCTAGCAAGGGGAAAGAGGGGATGGATCTGTTATCAGGAGATTCCCTTCCTTCTTACAGGAGATAGGAGAAAAAATAATATAAAGCAAACATATAAAAGATTATCTATAAGGCTGTGACTTAGTACAACAGCCTTATTCAGGCTGCATAAATACTACAAGCCAAAATCAGATTTACCTTCTGATCATGAACTGGAGACAGAAAAGATTTATTATCCCATTTTGTCCATTCCTCTTCATGTCTCCAGCCAATGCATGGTTGTTCCCTAAAACATATTCACCAGAGCTTAGTCTGCCTGGTTTAAAACTCCTGCCACTCAAAATTTACGTAAGCCTTTGTTTGTCTGGTTTCCATGTGCCCTTTAACTGGTTGCATCAAAAGCATTAATGGGTTCAAAAGGCAATTAGCCAACTTTATGGGGAAATGGTGTACTGGGAGCTATTACATGCAATGGTATAAACTCAGTATCTTCTTCTGTAAATTTCTAAATTGCAGATTACAGAAACTGGACACAAATGTCCTGTTCTTACATTCTTTCCCTAAGCATCCATTGGCACCAGTACCTGTGCAACAGGAGATACTGGGCTGGAGTGGTCTTTGCTTCTTACCTAGCCATCCATTATGTACCTCCCACCAGGAACCTTCATAACTTCTACAGCTAATATGCCAAGTTGTATTTACGTGAAAGAGGACTTGAAGTGGGAAGTCAGGAGTTTGGGATCTAGGAAACATGCAAGATGAGAACTACTAATCATTAATTCCAGCAGAATGACACGGGTGGGCTGGGGTGTTCTGAAATGGTGGGAGGCTGATCACCTTGCGACTTGATACTCTGAAACGAACTATGGGTTCCCAGCTGGGGTAGGGATCACCGAAATAATTTACCATTAAGTGAAAAGGAGCTGCATTGCAAGTACCTGTTCGGGTACATTTGAGATACCGAGTCACTGGCACAACAGATGCTTGTTAGTAACAAGGTATCAGTATCATGAAGCTATGTTCCTCCTGAGTGGCTGTCACTATAAGCGAGCAACTAATACACTGCACGGCAGGGAAAAATTTTTGTTGAGCTGTAGCTTGTATTTTTCTTGCTCTTAAAGAGCTTTGCTGCACGCAGGCATTCACTGAACCAAAGTGCTTCACTGTATAATGTCTGCATGTCAGAAATGTTATTTCCGTTCATTCCAAGAATAACCAAAACTTTTGCCCAAAATGCTCTGACACTTGTCAGACTAAACATCTTCTAAGCCTGCCATATTAAAACTGAACCCTGACTCATACTTTATCCTTACCTTTATAGTTGGATTATTTTTTTCCCTTTGGCACCACCACCATATCGAAATAGAGAGCATTCCTCATTACACCAGCAATAGAAAAGACAGAAAACCCTACCTGCCAGCCTCTTTGCAATGAAATATGAAACTGATGGCTGGACATCATAGATCCATACGCATTAGGACTTGTGTGGTGTACGTAGACACATAGACAGCTTAACTCATGTCCACATTCATGTTCATGGCATTTGTTTCTAGGTCAGCCGCCCAGTGACAGAGAAAGCCCAAAACGTCCTGAAGATTGAATATGATGACTGCTGCCTGACCCTGTCTGCAAGGTACTGTCCCCAAACAGCCACGGCAGAGGGTGTTACATTCTAGAGCTGCAACTCTAGAGCAGTCTAACCCATACCCAAGACCTAACTGGTGTCTCATTCTTTTTTTTTTTTAACTCAGTTTCAGTCTGTGCTATTGTGACAGACAACAGCCGAGAGCTTTATTACACAATAAAATATTAATTATAAATGCAAAGCTCATAAACTGTTACTAATTCAACTCATACTGAGTAAAGAATAGAAGTTGGCTCTTGATAACATCCTAAAGAGAAAGGAAAGAGAAGAAAGTCTGCTACTAAGAAGCCTGAGCCTGTTCCATTATCTTTCGCACTTTACCTGTCACACTAAGAGTGTATCATATCTCTCTTTTATAAGTACACTTGTTACCTCATACCACTAGTGTTGCAAAATTGCTGGAGAAAACAGAAATTAGGTAATACCATTCAATAGATATAAAAACATTTATTAGTGCTTAGATGATAAAGCCAAAATTAAACCTTACTGGCAACCTCATGGGTCCTTCTGATAAAAGGAATTTCACTAATGAGTTTGTGTGGTGCTAGGACTGATTGCAGCTGGCAGTAGGTCAGAAGGTACCTATCAGAAAGTAACAGTGTACTGTATTTTTTCATGCTTCTGGCCCAAAATTATCCTGCAAATTTACCTAGAGCTACAGCAGAAAGGTGGCTGGCTTGATTTTCAGGTGTAGTTTACTAGAAAATCATAGCACACTAGCAGTGGTATTAAAATTAAGTCTTCCAAATAACAAGGTCTTCAATGCTTTAAGTACTGACTTTCCCACCATCATTCTCCAAATACAGCATGGCTGGAAACACTGCAAACTTCCCTAAATTACATGGTGCAACAGAAAGACACTTTCTTATTCAGAATCAGAATCTGGAGCTCTCATCCTTCACAGAGCACTTGCTGTCTGTTGGCAGTGCTCAGATATCCATCAAAGCCTTTTTGTCTATTTCCTTTTACAACCAGCAAATGAGAAAATATCTGAGATTTTCTTAGAGCTGCACGCTTATCGCAGCCCTCAAAATACACACTCGGTACTTCTGAATTACCTGCTGCCAGTTACAAAAGCAAGATGTGTACAGTCCTCCTGCACTGTGGAGGGGAAGTAACTGCTGCAGTCCCCTTTATCCAAGGCAACTGAAGTTGGCATCCCTAGTGAAAAGCTTGGGATGTTCTGCTTGCATTGTTATATTGTTTCTTTGCCTTTTGCACTCGTATCAAGCCTGTGCTTAGCCTAAACAGAGCATGTGAGGCCACTGGGAGCTGTTTTTCTTTGGTAGCAGAACCAAGGCCTGAGTCTAAGGCTGCCCTTCTGATAACAGCCAGACATAGACTGACTCTTAACAGAGCACTGGGACAGAGCCCCTTTCCCTTCCCTGTGCTGCTCATTCTGGGACCTATCTGTCGTAAGTCACCCAAGAATACTTTTTCCTCTCCCTTTCTGTACTGGCTGGCAGAGCTGATGAGACATCAGTGGGACAGCATGCTCTCCTGTCCCCACTGCACAACATCCTCGGCCTCCTACGCTCACCAAAAGGAGCATCAGACAGAAGAGTACCAGAAAGCTTCAGGCATCCCTAAAGACTGTATCTTCTACTGCTCACACCAAGGGGCTGCAAGTCTGCACTGAAGGCCACTTGTTAACAATCACAACCCAAACCTCGATGCCTTTGCACTTGTATGAGACAAGATGAATGCACTGAGGAAATATGGCCTGTGTGCCAGGGACTAAAGGCAGTAGAATGAGGATGACCAAAGCTCCGAAGTCAGTGTGGCTGTATGAGCAGATGGCACTGCAAAGTCTTTACATCTCCTGCTCACCCAAAGAGCCATGTTATTGGCCTGCAGTGAGCTGGTAACAGATAAGAGCACAGAGCCTTTATGGAGAAGGCTCATACCACTCCGATACCTCTATTTGCATTTCAGAAATGTTCTTCTTGGACACAGGGGTAACCACATGGTGCCCATATAAAATACCAGAGCACTGGGAGAACACAGTCACTGTTACCTCCCTAAAAGGCTAATTCAGAGTGACAGTGATAGTACTGCTACAAAATCCCATCCCACCCCAGTCCAGTTTCTGTGTTCTGCAAATGTGCCCTGCCATCCAGGAAACTGCAGTGACAATTTGACCCACTTTCTGTTTGCTTAAGAGAGAATATATGAGCCAACACGGATAACTGATAGCCTAGCACAAAAGGCACAGCCCCAAAATCACAAGGACCAAATGTGGCAAAGGTGAATTGAGGTCTGAGCTTCTCTGAGCCTCAGAGGTTCAGCA